TGGGAGACCAAGGGACATGAAATGTATGAACTGCTGTAGGGACTGGACAAAACGTCCTGATGAGCAGCCTGTGCTCCCCTGACTCCATCCACTGCAGTTTTGTGCTTCTCAGGGTGCAACAATGCAGAGAAGAGAGAAGGAAATTTCAGGTGATTACAAACAACAGCAGCTCTGTTCCAAAGCAGACAGGTAACTCAAGGAAGGTGAGTAAGGATGAGGACAGAGACTGGAAAAGACGCACAGAGAATTAGGAGAAAAAAATGCAATTAGTAAGGAGAGGTTTTATCAAATGCCTTAAAAAATTAGGAGTGACCAAAAAGCAACATTACCATCTAATAATAGGGGATAACACGAGACAGATGACACTAGCCCTAAATTAGCAAGCTCTGGATCCATATGCACCACAGAGGCCGACTTTGCTTTGGGTTGGGTTAACCAACAGTAGTGTCCAAAAAAGGAGAGAACAGAGCTGGCAGACAGTTCATTGTCCTCCTTCTCTTCCCTGTGCTTTTGATTGTACATCACAATCTGGAACTGAAGTGACAATTAAAGTCACTTAGATACAACGTATGCCCCGATGCAGGAGGAGGCAGGAGGAGAGCTTTACTTCATAGTATTTCAAATAACAATCTTCTTTGTAAGAGTCTTATTTCTAAGAATTAGAAGATAAAAAGCTTTTGTGATGTGGTATTTGTAGATACACGTTGCTTTGATCATTATCAGAGAGAGTTTGTGTCAGTGCAGCAGGGGGAACTTTCATTGCTTTTGAAATACACAATACACTAAAAAAAATGCAAACATATCACAGGGAAAAATAGATATACAGATGAATACAAAGGCAATTCTTTCCAAAACCTCTTTCATACACAGTGTCACACAGCAATCAAGGATCCTGCCAACTCTTGAAGTGACAATAAGCTACCACAGAGACAACACAATCTGCTCATAGATTCATTTCCCTTCCTCCTAAAGCCCAGTGCTGCTTTAGAAAACAAAACTGCTGTGTAGTGAACTTAATCAAATGCTACTGGGCAGGATATTTGTGTTGATCTTTTTTCCTCTTCTCCCCACTAAGAATGGGAGCCTCCACTGACCTAATGCTGGAAAGCACCACTGGATCCATGGGTGGTCATAGTGGGCAGATGCAGAAAAAAAAGAAAATGATCATCAGAATTTCACTACTGCCACTGCAAATGACAGCATTTCCCTTTTCTAAACAGAAGAGAGAGAGAATTAGCCACAGCCTGGTCCTCCAATTTCTCTGTCAAGAGAAGGTCTCAGATTTTTTAGCCTCAGATTCTATAGCTGTGGGGAGACAGCTGAGCAACAGGGAGCTTTATTATTATTTTAGTGCATTGTATTAAATGCACTAAAATAGCAAGCAGAAAATCATGGGAAATAGTATCCATTGCAATCTGATGCTTAAACATATTTGATGGTATATTCAACAGCTTTGCCTGTCTAACAGCCCTGGGCAAAAACATGCCCCTCTCCCTGCTGTTCTTTCATTTCATGCTATAATGCTTCCAATTCTCCTTTTGAAAAGAATTGTGGACATTATCTACCTGTTGCACAGAAGCTCCTTCCTATGGCCACTCATAACCTTTGCAGATGCTGCTGCGCTGTTATCAGTAAAAGCTTGAGTCATTTGGTGCTGGGAGGAAATGGCATCTGGGGAAGGTGCCTCAATTGAAAAAAGGGATCAACTGAAAAAACAAAGCAAGTACTTCTTGCTAAATATTATCTTAAAGGATGGTGGGGAGCTGGAATGAAACCTGAAGGAAGCAGTGTGCAGAATGAAGTTTTCTAGATCTGATTTTTTTTTTATCCTCATGGGTTCATTTAATTATCAAATACAGTTCCATTTAGCCCATCTGCATCTCTGAGTGTATCCTCTTGACATGACTTTCTTGGTGCTCCTTGACCATTGCCCACTGACGAAATATCAAACATCTCAGCTTTTCAACCCTGTTCCTGTTAAGCACTCCTCTCTCCTACCCTTGTATAAAAAACACTTCCCTTTCTTCCCTTAATTTACTGAACAGTCACGTTTTTTTCTCATGCCAGGTCCTTTCTGACAGTCCCCTTTTTGATTATAGAATCATAGAACGGCTGAGGCTGAAAGGGATCTTAAAAAATTCCACCCTCCTGCCATGGGCAGGGACACCTTCCACTATACCAGGTTGCTCTGGGCAACCTGTGCCAGGGCCTCCCCACCCTCACAGGAAACAATTTCTTCCTAATACCTAATTTAAACTGACCATTTTACAGGTTAAACCCACTCCCCCTTGTCCTGTCACGACATGCCCTTGTAAAATGGAAGGTGGAAAACACATAAATTGCTTCAGGACGACCTCAGAATTTTCTGACTTCAAAACTGGTCCTTTCCCTGGTGTCAAAGTATCAAGCTCACCTAGAATTAACTGCTCACTGGTGTGATGCTGACCTTGGCTGAGTAACTCTGCTCCCACAGAGCTCACATTTCCTGTGCATCCTCATCTCTTCTCAAAGGTCAAAGACCAGATCAGGATAAAACCCTTCCCATTGCTTCCTTAACTAACCCCTCATATTTCCTGTGTTTCCCCCCACCTCCAAAACCAACTTTCTGACCACTGAAATGTACTAAATGTATTAAACAAACTACATGAAAATATCAGGATCCTGAAATAAGAATCCTTTGAGAAACAGATACATATTTACAAAAGGCTTTAAAACAAAAATTCTTTTCTCGTTCACCAAGCAAAAGATGTAAAACCTGGAGAGGGAGAATCCCACAGCCAGCAAGGACACTGACAATTTACTAAGCATTGCCATCCCAGTGGGACTGTGCAGGCTCATCCCTGGATAACACAAAGCACTGCTCAATACTCTGAGTGATGAAGATTCATACCTCATGGACATTTCTGCCCAGAGACTGCTGTGTTAAATCCCGGGATGAAACATATTCCTCAAAATGAAAACATGGAAAATTCCTGCTAAATGCCAAGCCTGAAGCAGCCATGATTCAAAGGGACAAGTTGAGCAGAACAGGTGCCAAGGATGTCTGTTCTCCGGATTGATTTACAAACTCAGATTTTCTAAACCATTAGACGTTCCCCTGTCTCATGTGAGCAGACAGCAAGTCGAGTTCAATGTATCTCATCACCATCTGGAAACTCTACAGGCAAAAATATCTTCTCTATTGAGCTTTTGAATAGCATTAGTTCTCATCCAGCTGAAATCTTTGTTCTGAAGCTGTGCAATCCCTGTTCTCCTCCTTCATAAGTCAGGTTTATGCCTTTTCCATGTGGTTTTGATATAGATGTAGAGCTGCAGACCAAGGGAAAAACAGCCCAATGCCTCAAGGAAAGGACCCCCAAGATAAGAACTCACACAAAATATTCTTCTCAGCATCACCAGGTACTGTGTTCTGCACTGTAGCTCTTCTTAGCTGTGACTTTTCCTAAGTGATATCAGATGGTGTTTGCCTTATCCAATCCCCTGTACCATTGTTCAAAGCATGCATGCACATACATAACATTAATTTCTCCAGCCTATTAATAAAAGCAGAAGAAAATAACAATGGCAAATTGGGTACAGGTTTATACAGATCTGTTTCTGCAGTCTACTTTCCTTTCTAAATTATATTTATGCATTTTCATTTCCAGTTTCTTTAAATATGAATATTACCGACTAATTATCTTGTTACTATGATGGACACAATCCAGAAACCTAGACAAAATATGTCATAATTTCAGGTCTGATAATAATTTTGTGGCTCGAGTCACAAGGGATTAAAGACCTTAACAAGCCTGCCCAAGAAAAGCTGGCTGCAAATGAAGTTATCTTTATTTTATTTTCCCCATAAAGGGAAGGTTTAGCTCGGCATATTGCTCTCAGAGATGCACAAAGCACAACAGCTTGTTTTGGGTTGCTGCCACTCAGCTTCATGCTGCATCCCCATCTAGAGTCATTAATCTTTTACCACCAGGAACACAATTAATCATGTTTCTTTTCAGAGGAAAAAGAGAAAAATCATAGTAATTTTCATAGAAAACACTGCAAGGTACTCCATCAATAACAGTCATTTTTCTTCTTGGTACACACTGATAGATTTGCTCACTGAAACCTGCTTGTCATTACAATATAAAAAAAAAGAGCAGTCATCTAAAATACATATAACCAATATAAGCAATAGGAAAAACACATGAAGAAGCTTAGTTGTGCTGTGCAAGGCAACAAATGTCCTTTTACTGACAGCTGAATCATAAAGAAGAGCTAGGGTTGAAAAAAGCTGTTTATATTACTTTGGAGGTTATTTTCAAGTGCGAACGTTTTTCCATTTAGCTCACAACACAAAACCTTTGCCTAAATTATGACGCAAATTTTGATTCAAAACTTGATGAAACCAAAAGTCTTACCAACAGTTTCGCTTGAATTAAGGCATGCTACTTGTGGATATAAAGACAATAAGTCTATGAAAGTTTGTGACTCGATGCCACCCCAGATCAGAAATGCCCACTGCCAGTTGTATAAAAATCTCACTCACGCTGTTTTCAGTCTTTAAGATCTGAGAACTTACTTGAGCTCAGCTCTCATTAGGTCACTAAGAGTTCTGGCTGAATACAAATGACAACCCAGCCACCTTCCACACCTTCAAAATATGACATTTGCCACATGGATTCACACACATCTTTGTTGTTTTCCTTAAATATTTCATAACTTAGTCATTCTTTACAATTACATATCACAAGCTTTTATCTTTTTCCTCTGTTTTTAAGAGACACACAGAAGACAGCTATAGACTGCCTTTTCTAATTTTTTTTAATATTTTATTTTATTTTAATCCATAAACTAATTGGCTTTCTGGACAACCTAACCGAATTTTCCAAATTTAATTTTACGAGATGCTCCATAATATCCATTACAGCAAACACTGTCCCGCAGATTGGATTAGCAGGCTCTCTGGACCTGCTTATTTCTGAATTGAAAGTGCAGCACAGGCTGGATAAACGAATTACCTGAGCAGCGGAACTTCTTGCTCTTGATCTGGCTGATGCGTTTGTTGGCAAGGCGACGGGGATTGCTGCACCGAGCGCCGCTCGTCTCGATCGGATTATCCTGCAGGTAATCAGCCAGCCACTTCAGATGGCAGTCGCACACAAATGGGTTCTGAGCTAAATGTCTGCGAGAAGGATGGCATGTTTAATCACAAGTGACCCGTGACACCGCGCTCCATCACCGCTTTTCACAGAACGCAAACCTGAGGAGTGGAGTCATTGAATAAGCTCCCCACCCCAAAAAAACCCCCAAAAACAAAACCAAAAAAACACCCACCAAACCCCAGGCCTGGCGGAAACCACACGGAGCTGCACTTGAATGGGAGAATTCTGTGAGCTACCACGTTTCACAGCTCGTTAAGCCTCCCGCAAGTGCTTTGAGGGAGGAAACAAAAACTGCTGTGGCAAAGCCCACTTTAAAGGACACAGACCTCCTGTCACCAAGTCCTGTGTTTTCTTCTGAAAGCTTGACATGCTGCCTTTTGAGAGAAACGTACCTTACCTGGACATCATTTTGTATCCTGGTTTAAAAGAAATTTTATCAGCAACTCAGTTTCTAAGGGATCAAATGTGAATTAGTAAAGTGCCTTGGACCTTTGGGCAAAGCCAGAAGAGATCCAGGACTCTCTTCACAAGACCGAAATTAATATTTTCATATACTCATCATGTGTAAAAGTATTCTCCTTATATGTATTCTTTCCTGGAGCAAAAAGTCTTATTTACAAGACTGAACTGTAGAACTTATCCTTCACCAAAATTTGCACAACCTGTTTCCTGTGCAACTGGAAATAGGTATTATAGCACTGATTTTAACTGGGTAGTTAAGACTTTGGTAACAGAAATCTACTGGAGCATCTTAGAGAGAAACAGCATTCCTCTGCTGCTGTTCTGGTTCATTCTGCTTGACAAAGCTGAGCACTATCAGGAGAGTCTGTCAGGTCTTTCCCAGAGCTGGGTTCTGATCTCAGTTAAGCTAACTTGCATCAGTTCCTCTGACCTCCAGGGGAGCAGGACACAGCTCTCCAATAACCGCAAAGACAGTTTAAGAAAAGACAGATGTTTCAATTTGGTTTGGACAGAGGTGTAAAGTTATAGCCTCTGTTACTGTTTTCCACCTGTAGAAACTTCCTTTCTGTTTGTAGTTATATTTATGGACTGTCATTTAACAGAATAAGTATAAAACACAACAGGGCAATGGCTGTGCAGGAGTGGGAAGGGAAGGCACACAGAGTAGAGAGGGTCTGAAGAAACTCAAGATGACTGCTGCAGTAGAGCCATTTGTGGAGTGAAAGGTCCAAAAAACAAACAAGCACAGAGAGATACGATATGGGTCTGGTTTTGTAGCTCCAGAATAAACACAGAAGAGGGCAATCACTTGGAGTATTAAAAACGGGAGCATGAATCAAAACATTTCATGAAGAAGTGTCTTGGTGTGAAGCTACAAGTCCATTCTAAGTAAGGGCCACCAGGAATGCCAACAATACCCTGGAAAACCAAGGGGAAATGTTTATACCTTAATGGTGTTGCCTGTTTAACTTGACAAACCTTGTATATTTCTGTGAATGGACCCTCTCTGTAGCCCCTGTTTACATCTGTGTACATATATAGAACTGGAGGGGATTATTCCAGTGGTTTGCACCAGGACATACTGGCCAGGTATCTCTTGGAAAACTCAGGTTGTGCCTGAGGAGGTGGCAGAAACACTGGTGCTAGAAATCATCCCTATGAGTTCATTTGAGTATGAATTAAAACATTTACAAAACTATTTCAGCCAATGCATTTCCAGTATTAAAGTATATTTGTGCATTTGTATACAAAAATTTCCAGTACTGTAGTATGTGTGTGCATATACATATATAATGTGCCTGTGTATTCCAGTATGTGTATATATACGTACCCATACATATTTTAATACTGGAATATCAGGCTGCCAACTCCAGCTCTGAAGGAGTACTATTTACCTTATTATCTTACAACTCACAGCTTTAGGATGAGACCTTCTTCTCCAAAACATTGAGTCATTCCTGTACTTTTGCTTCTGATTCCTATTCTAATGCCTCCAAATGCAAAGACTGTCAAAAATGTTCAGTGGATTTTCTAAATGGATCAAATAATACAACATATCATTCCTCTGAAGTGAAATATTAGCTGAAATATACCATCTGTGTCATGCCCAGGTCCTACACCTTCCAACTATATACATATATATATAAACACACACAAGCACAGGCATCATTTCCACAGTCAATGAGCAGGACTCAGACCCAGAAAGGAGAGGTTCCAACTCATTAGCTCATTAAAACTTTTAGGTAACGATTCTAATAGAATCTGCTATTAATGTGTTTTACAAGTCAAATGCACATATTATCTTCCCAAAAAGCAGTACAAGCTTAGCACACTTATGACATTTATGTCACTGTGGGCAGGCTGTGTCGAGAGCTGGCCTTGCTATCTATCAATTGCTGAACTGATGCAATACTCCTGCTTCTTGCTCCTTTTCTTTCTGTGAGAAAAGGAGGGGCTGCTCCACTCATGTCTCTTCCAAATTGTCTTAATGTCAGCTGCAAAGACAGGCAACATCTCTGGTGGGAAAAGAGAGAGCTGTCATTTGTGATCTGCCTGCATACTCACAGAGTCTGGATCGATCGCAGAGGTGCAAAGAGCCCCTTGCTGATGGTCTGCAGTTTGTTGTCATAAAGAGATAGCAGTTTGAGATTATGCAGACCTTGGAACGTGTTCACCCTCAGGCAGTTGATCTTATTGGCATTGAGAAGCCTGAAAACAGAGAAAAGGTTTAGAATTCTGTTCATCTTGTAGTAATCAAATAAAGATAGACCGGACTTTGGGGTTAAGTATAAAAAATTATTAATCAGGTCAACAAAGCCAACCCACATGTAAAGGGCTTCATTCGCCTCCTACATTTAAAATGTGAGAAAACAGTCAACATGAGTACTCTCATAGCTGGGGAATATACAGTAACAGTGTGTACATACATCATACATGTATATATATATGACAGTGCTAGCCATTTTAAAATACACAAAAATTGGGTATGCCCAGCCCCCTCCCAATTTGCTCAAAATTCTACACAAATATTTAAGGAAGCCTTCAGCTTAATATACATAGAAACAGCAAATACTTCTCACCTTGCTATTTCATGCACCCACCCACTCATTTACAATGAGAAGAACCCTTTTTTTTTTTCCCCCCGAGTTTTCTCTACCAGCAGTTGTCCTAAGTCTAACTGAAATTCTGGGAGTTTGAAATCTCTTGATAAGCAGTGTAGGGTTAATTTGATCATGGAAGGAAAAAAAAAAAAAAGTGCTTCTGCTCAGAGACAAGAAGAGAAGTGTAAGGTCTGGACTAAAACTTACTGAAAGGCACACTCACTTCCCACCTCAGGACAGATCAGCAGGGGATCAGGCTGCCCAGAGGAGCTGTGCAGCCTCTAGTGCTGGAGGTTTTCAAGATCATACTGAATAAAGCCATGAGCAACCTGATAAGGTGGGTCTCCAGACTAATTGTCTAGTGATCACTTGGAAGACCTTCTAAACTCTACTGTCCTACAATTCCATGAACCTGCTCCATTCCAGTCACACCATATCCCTTGTGCAGTTGTGAAAAAAGCAGCAGAAAGGCAATTGAAATTATTTTTTAAAAAATATGTTTTGTACAGCTACACCAGTCAGTTCAACCAGAAAATCTTGGACAATACTTGTGCAAGTTTTCTTAGATCACCCAAGTGGAGTTCTGTCCTGCATAACAAGTATATACAAACCCAACAACAAGCTGGATCTCCTGCTGAGACAATCAAACACAAGAACACTTAAATTGTCACCATCATCTGCATAGGTGGTATCTTACACTCAGAAGGAAAAGAGGCAGGAAATTACCTATTCTTCTTACAAAAGCCAAAATCCATATCTTTTGACTACTCTCAGCCTGAGGAAAAATGGTAAATTGCAAACAATGTATGTTGTTAATTAAGTTCTCTTGGGTAGAAAATTCTTCCCTTGTCAATGAGTTCGAGGGGCTGCATCATTGTGGCTCTCTACAAGGCACCACAGTAATGTGAAATCAGAAGATGGATATGGTTATAGGAAAAAAGGAAAATATATCCTCTATTCCTCAGCAAACAAACGCAGCATCTTAAATACACCACTAACAGCATGGGGAGCTCCCCTTCTCGACACACTGCACATACACCAGCAGAGACAACGGGGCAGCTTCCCAGGGAGGAAATGTGTGCTTGGCAGCTGCACATGATGGTTTTCTTTTGCTCCAAAAAGTAATTCTGAAGGTGCTTCCTCTGCCTTTGCATTCCTGAAACCTTTTGAACATGGTACACTCATTACAGTTCTCTGCTCCTGCTGTTGTTTTGGCAGAGCCTCATCACTGCAGCCAGTGGCTCCAGCAATTGTGATGGAGGGAGATGGAGGCATACTTGAGCAGTATGGAGAACTCCAGGAGAACAGGAATGCTCTGGAATGAGAGGGCTTCGGAGGAGAATTCACCTTTCCAGCCTACTGAAAAGTCAGTATAAATTCACCTCAATTCTCTCCTCTACATGTTGTGGAAAATGAAGTTTGACATTATTTAAGGCAAAACCCCATAGAAGGCAATGATGGATAAATGAGGTTACGTTTTTGCATGAACTAATAGCTAAAACAATTTTATGAAATCATAAGCAGCACCAGTATGACCCCTCTGGAATCTGAATTTCCATGACACCTAATCCACACTCCCATTGGCTCCACCAAAAGTAACAGGGTAATTTTCATATTAGGCTACAGGAAACACAGCAAAGAGCAATGTCATCCCTTCCTGCTTGCTTCTTGTAGCCATTCATGTGTCCAAGCCAAAGCAATTTTCATCCTCTCTTGGTTCTCCCATATTATGCATTTCTCTTTCCATCTTGTACAGTACCTTATCCATTAAGAACAGCTTAGCAAGGTATGAGAAGGCAGAACCAGCTACTGAGTTTTGAACAACACCCCCAGACATGCTCTTGGGATTACAAATCCTTTGATTTCTACCCCCTGTCCCTGTGCACTGGTATCTAAAATACACAGGAAAAAACCTGAAAGCAAGTGTGTACTTCAATTTACTTTACTAGATGCTAATTGTTTTCTACTGTTACAGGGATAGTCTATGTTGCAAGCAGTACTTGCAACAAGGCATGAAGCAAAAATGAAAACAATCTCAGAAATAAGAGAGTTTACAACAGAACTAAAGTTGTATTTCTAAACGTGGATAACCAGGATGTCTTTTTGTGCTGCTTAAGAAGTGGAGACACAGCAGAGCTGTGCTGGGCAGATGCTGTTCACTCCTGTGCTAAGACTGGCCTTGAAGTCTAACCATCCCACTGAATAAATCCTCCCAAGCAAAGCTGACCTGGAACTGCAATGAATACACTGGATTCAGATTCATTCTCTCATTAGTTTCAACAAAACATGAATAAACCCAGTGCTGGAAAATGGAATTCACAATGTGACGAGTTTTCCTGGCATGAATTTTCAGTGACTGGGTTCATGGGGATAAAATCTGTGACATTTCCTTAAGAGCCAAATACCAAAAATGAGAGCAACTGATCCTCTGTAAAGCCACAAATACAGAGGTTCACACTCTCCTTTAAGCATCAGAGGAATTTGGAACAGGAAAATGCTTGGGCAGACAGTTCAGAGGTGGGAATTAAGGTCCTACAGAGCTTTTCTGAGGTGACAACACCTCTTCTGTGTATCACCCATGCAACATGTGTAGTCCCTAATCTAACCTAAAGCACAAAACTGTGAGAAAGCAGAATAAATCATCCCTAAAATTTTTCTCCTCCTACTTAACTGTGAGTTAGATGATGACTTTTGGCCAGAAGCATTAAGGTTCATTTTCCTTTAAAACCCCTCAGTTGTTTTAAAGTATCTCCTCTGTGGATATTCCCCTCGATAAATTCCAGTTCTTTGCTTAATCCTTCTTCACTAACCCAGCCCCCCTAATGGCATCTAATTATTAATTAGGTATACAAGGCTGGCCTCACATGGAGCTAAAAGTGGCTATAAGAGGCTTTTTTTAAACTAACACAAAGGCAGATGAGAAAAACATATTCCAGGAAGCAGAAACACTGAACCAGTCTGTAAAACATACTAAGGGTTCCTTTTATTGGACTTACACCAAGAGAAAGCACAGCACTAAAAGCTGAGTCTTACTTTAGCAGGAATTACATGGTATTTATTTTGCACCAATTCATGGTGAAAGTAAATTCCACTCATTTTCCCATTTTGTTATCAGCTTGATTGGATGAGAGTTACACACGGCCTCCAGATGTGGGGCGGCATTCAAAGGGAGGTTAAAAATTCAAGCAGAAATAAAACCGCCTGCTGCCCAGAGGGATGATGGATTATTAACCCAAGTCTCCATTTTCATCCCTCTGGATATGTTAAAAACATGAAGTAACCTCTCTCAAGCCTTGGACCACCACAGAATACAGGAGGATGGTTAAAGACCTTGTGGTTTACATGCCATTGAGAGCAGTGAGCTGAGCAGAGCACTATTACAATTCCATGAACCCATTTCCTGAAAAAGTGGATTTGTCCACACACACTGAAATAATAACGTGTTTCAGCTAAGCCCTTGAAATGGATGTGCACTGAATTGGCTCTGTAATTGTATCAGCTGCTCATAAGCACCATCTGCATAATTAAGATGGTCCCGTAATTGAATTATATGCCCAAGCACAGTTTCAAGTGATTAACATTTAAATAACATTCTGAACTCCAAACCCAAAATGATTGAAAAAATTGGGTTTTAAGAGCAAATGGGAATGTTTATATGGCTTTTACCCCTAGGAATGTTTGCATTTTTATCTCAGTGAAGTCAAGTAATCAAACTATCAGCAAATAACCACACAACTTGGAGAATCAAACAGCAGCTGAGCAACTTTGCACAGGCTGGGGACTGCAGGCTGGTCTCTGGTGCTAGGGGATGGACCAGGAACCACCCAGGGTACATTAGTGAGCCAAAAACAAAATGCCAGGGAGAAAAGCTTCACAGAGGCACCAAAAAAACTTCTCCTCCTCTTTTACTAGCTTTGTGTTTTGACAGCAGCGACAACATGATGAGAATGAAAATGTTTGGCATCCTGTGAACTGGCTGGCACATCCCACATGCCAGACTCCACTGGGGAAAATGAGAACTCACCAGAAAAAGGCAGATATAAAAGGCAGAGGAGGCTTGTTTGGAAGAGGAGAACTGGGTAACAGTTTTGCATGGGTAAGAGTAGAATACAAATTGAACAGACGTGACCTTTATAGAAAATCAATAGCCAAAAGTTTCACCTACATTCAAAGGCACTATAGGGCAGCAAGGAAAGAACTCTCAGCAGGAACTTTTCCTTAGGATATACAACACATGGCACAGGAAGTCAAAAAACAAATTAGCATGTATTTTTCAGCATTTTCTCCTGACATTTATAGGGAACCAAGTGTCATCTTTGATTTAACACGACTTATCACGGGAGAGCAGCTCAAGTGTCAATATGGCAACATCTAGTCAAGTACTTGGTCAGCCCAGCAGTCAAGGACAAGCAACATCTAATGACAGAAATGTGTGTGCCCCTGCTTACTTATTGGCAAAATAATTATATTAGGTTTCAGGAATGTTTTAAACTGGCCTGGACTGTCAGGGAACATTCTGATTGCCTCTCACTGTGTCAAGATACTTAGACATCTACTAAAATTTACATTTTCTAATGTGATGACTGACCACTGAAGAGTCTGTCAGTG